GTGTGTGTGTGTGTGTGTGTATGTGTGTATAAAAATTAGCAAAAGAATAAATAGATAAAACATGTCATAATTTTTTAATTTATTTTACTTGAGTGCAAGCTAAAGAATAATGTAAAAAAACTTGTAACATTTCTAGCAAAAAATCATCGAACTAGTCATCATTACAAATTTTCTTACAGCTAAAAGAAAAATTACTTTTTCATAAAAGCATATGGGTTAAAGCAATTATTTCATGATTTTTATAAGACTTTCCCTTTCCCTAGACGCAGATAAATAGACCACTCGTAACTATCAGCATAAGTGCGACTAGAAAATAAAATTAAAAATAAAAGTATATATAAATTCTACGCGCAAGGCATATTCACGTTAAGCATACTGATCGCCCTTCCCACGAAGAGTTGTCAGTGCCAAATAGGTAAGTTTCTTAATGATCTCTTATATTTATTTCATTCATAATTTTATCATTCAATTCCGCCAATGCAATTATGACACTTTTTCAATAACACTTTCAACAAATTTTTAATGTATTTAATTTTATATATATTGATTTCTAAAAAAAATTTTTTATAGATTTGTATAATTTATAGTGTTATATCGATAGATATGATCACAATAATTATAAATATATTAGTTATAAATATATTTATATATTTATAACGATATTTCATTAAAATCGAAATACTAATGCGTATTTTTCGAAAATACACCCTGACATATCTATAATATAATAATTATTATATATAATAGAAAAATATATTTAAATTTTTTTAATTTTTATGAATGAAATAATGTTAATGTTATTATAGAATTTAAAGAATACAAAAATCATTATAAAATTTAAATATAAGTTTGGAAATATTGAATATATATTTCCTACCTTATAATTGAGTTGATAAACTTGATACTGTTTTTATAAAAATCTTTTATGTTTAACAAGATCTTATGGATAATAAAGTTTTTTTTTTAGAATAACATTTTTGTTTATTAACATTACAAAATATTTTTCCAGAGAAAAACAATAAAATTCTTGTTTTAATGTCAAAAGTATAACCATTAACCGTTTAATTTCAATATGATTATTATTCATTAATTTATTAAAGTTACATATTATTTTTATTTAAATGTTATATGTATTATATAGAAAATTATAAAAAAAGCAAAAGGAATCGTTTAAAAAAGTGTAGAATCATTAGACCTTGTCATATTAGAAAAGATCGAAAATGTATATTTTTTTTTTTATGAAAGACTTATATTGTAATAAATTATTGTTATTTTATAATATTCAAATTACTTTTCCAGTAATATTAATGCTGATTATAGTGTGTAATACACAAATTATTTAATTACCTTTAAAAATGTTTTAGAATTATAATAATAGATATTATTAATCAATACAGTTTGTTTTTTTTTTTTTTTTTTTTTTTTTTTTAAATATATACTACAAATTCAAATTTGTTGTTGAAAAAAATTATCAGTACTTAAAATTAATTATTAAACTAATTTTTTTAATAAATAACGTTTTAAAAAAAAATAAATGATTCAAATTCTTTAGGAAAGTTTTTTTTTTTTTTTTTAAATTTCTAATTATTCATCTCGATCAGTTTTATATTTTTTGAGCTATCGTTAATTTATTTAAATAATTCTTATACATTTTTAAATAATTTATAAGTAAATTACTAAATTTTATTAGAATATGTACTCGATAATTTTCATTTCATGATTATAAATAATTATTTTGAATTATAACATTTGCATTAGCTTGTAATTCATGTAATACATAACGATCTGGCAATTGACAAAACTTCCATTAATTACAATTTCTTACTACTTTATGAAATTAACAAGATGATTATGATATCTTAAATATATAACAACGATTCTAAAAATAATGTTTATTTTTAATTTTCAATTTACCATGTTTGGAAATTTACAATTATTAATAATTGGTAGCCAATTAATTAATATTCATAATTTTTAATAAATATTTGTAATAATTGTTCAGATTATAATACATATTGAAGCATACGGTTATTATTATGACAGTATATGATAACAAAATATTATGTTTAAATATTATTTGATAATATATTTTCAATTATTAAGATTGCATAAATTTTTTATTGAATAAAATTAAAAAAAAAAAAAAAAAAAAAAATCACTTTTCTCTATAGTTATTTCATAGATTGTTGAATTTCAAAGTCGAATTCTTCATTATCATCAAAATTATATCATTTAATTCTATTAACAAAATTTCCGATAAAGCTAATAATTCTACTTAAATAACTAAACTGGAGATAACTGATACATAAATTTAATGAAAAATATTTACTAACTTGAGCAAGCTAATATCCTTTGTTTGACCATAGATTTTACTTTTGCGTGCATTCAAGTATCTTAACAATTTGTAAGAAAATTTTGTCAATTACAAACTTTCAATTATATTCAGTTGGTTTAAAATTAGTATTTTAGTATGCAAATGGAAAAATTGATCAGAAATTAATCATCAATCTAAAAAATATTTATTTTGTATAGTTAGCAAATATTAATATTCGAAAGAAAGAAAAAAAGATTATTTTCTCGATTTATATTCCTATAAATGTACATATTTTTCGTATTATTTACTAAAAAAAAAAAAAAAAAAAAAACGTGTCATTTCAATAAGTTATTCATTAATGATAATAATTAATGATGTATTACGAATTTATATTTTGAATTTTTAATAAACATTAAGTAAATTGATAAACTAAGTTCATCATAGATATGTTTTGTACATTTTCTTTTAATTCGATTTTTTGATTATATAATTTCCTAATGAAGTAGCAGAGAATTTAAGACAAATAAAATTATTATTACATACCCAATATAAAATTATTCTTTTACAATCTTATACAGTATTGTTTTTTGCGAAGTGCGAAAGTTCGTCATTAATTAATTTTAACTAAATATATTTTTAATCAATTTGATTTCTCTTGTTTCTATTGGATTTACGTGGCCTTTCTTTTCGCATACCATCCAAGAATTCTATCATTACTTCGGAACCTTAAATCACACGTCTGGCTAAAAATAACATGTATGAGAGAGACAAGCCGGCAAATATGTAACACTGCTACATTATTATTACACCGATTATTTAATTGTTTTATTTAGTTTGTTTAATGTTTTTAATTAAATAATCTAATTACTATAATAATTTTATAGGCATGGACAATCAAAATGTCCTTGTATTTACAACAATTGCAAATATTAAAATTTCATTTTCCTTAGAGCTTTCATTTTTAAAACACGTTATTAACATTTTTTATAAAAATATATAAGAATTTTGAAGCTATAAAGTAAGTTGTATTAGAAAAGGATATTTTACAATATTATTTCATATTTGAGCACGAAACATCTAAATTGATCATGTTAAAAATCAGTTTTATGACAACATTTTTTGTTCTTGTAGCGAAGATTTTTCAAACAAAATTCATTTGTCACGAAACCATATGCATTAAAAAACAAATTTCCAATTTTTTTTTTTAACATAAACAGTTAATTTTACTAATATAAAATTGTAAATAAATGTATATTACACAAACAAAAAACAAAAAAAAATAAAATAAATAAATAAATAAATAAATAAATAAATAAATTTTTAATAAAATTAAATCAATTGAACGCAACAACGTTTTGCATCGAATTTCAATAGACAGTTTTATAAACATTACGTATAAAATGCTAAATACAAAGGATGTATTTTACAAATGTTTTACACATGATAAATAAGTCTTGTATAAAAAAAAATACATAATGATGTCAATAGTTGATGTTAATGTTTGACTTTCCTCCCTCTTCTTTGTTCTTATATAATGTATAAAATAGTAATTAATGCCTATATATTTTTATTAAATATTTCGGCATTGAAATATATGATTATTATTATGAAAATTGGCTACTCATTTTAAAATATATATTGAATGTTGTATTGTTTCAAGCTTATACAGTGAATATTTTTTTTAAAAAGCTATAATTTATACGTATAATAAGAAAATAATTATCTAGAAATTAAAAAATTTTTTCCTAGGATGGAATATATGTTTCAATTACGATTAATAAATACGTAATTGTTTTTTGTTTCAGATAATCTTCCCAATAGAGAAGTATCCCCAGAGAAAATCCCATTTGGGAAATAAGTGCATATCGAGAAGACCTAATGTAACGTAGTTCCGAGATATTCTTGTGAGGTTCGCGGCCCCTAGGACCCTTTGTAAAATCTAGATGTGAGTGTCCGCTGTTCTATCCTCTGTGAAAAAATACCGTGTATTTTTTTATTGATTTTCAATGAGGAACAATTTGATAAGACTGACACCTATGGACTACGTTGTTTCTCAACAATTCGATCGGTATTGAACAAAGCTAAATGAAGCAATTCTAAAAGTCCGGGAGGAGTGACACATCAAAAGTTCTTTCATATTAGTTTCTTCTTCGTTGTTATCTTGTATTTCTTTTTCCAAAGAATTGAACGTTAGAGCAGTCGTCGAGCTTATTCAATTTCTCCCGAGAATTCAACAAGTATAGCTAGCTTGATAAGGAGAATTTTTATTATCCACTGCCGTTGAAAAGGAAATGAGTAACATGAGGGTCAAAGATATCAGACCAGCTCCTGCTGAGATCGAGTATAAAAATATGAAGTTCCTAATTACTGATCGTCCCAACGATCAAACAATCCACACATTCATCCAAGTGAGTATTAACATATAAATGTTGTTTGTTTTCTTTTAATCTTCATATAATAAAATTTACTCTATTTTTGTCAACTTAACAAACAATATTCATTTTATTTATATATTGTGATATTTATTTATTTTTGTGCGTGTGTGCGCGTGTGCGCGTGTGCGTGCGCGTGCGTGTGTAAATCTAGCATTATTACTTATTGTTATTAACGTTTTGATTAAAAATATCGTAACTATTACGCGCAAAAAATTGTGTATATCTATTATTAGGGCTACTACAACCTTCTTATCTCATATCAATCATTTTGATTACATCGTTAATAATTAGTTTATCCTTGAACATAAGAAGTTTATTATTTTAATGATATTTTTCAATTTTCTTTTGTATCAAATTAGTCCAGTATATTTACCCATAATTTACTTATTCTAAATTACAAAGAATTTTTCTATTGATTTATTTAATTTTATATCTTATATCATTTTATTGTCTAATTCGCTTAAATACTACATGTTTGTGATTTTCTTTAGTTTCACATTATAAAGTTCTTTAAAGTTATTTTAATTCCGAGTCTATAATTTCTATGCTCTCCTTCGATAAAATAACTTAAAATAATTGTTACTTTATATTTTATAAAAGTCGTCTACACTTTGTAAATTTAAATAAACGAATAATAATATTGTTATTTTATACATTCTTCTATGATAATGTTGTGTTAGTTATAATGATGTTATATTGTTAGATAATAATGTAAAGATAATAATGTTATATTAAGAAATAAATATAAATTGTTATAAGTGTATATGGAGTAAATATATTATTTTTATACAACTTCATTTCTTTGACATTTTCTTCTGTGTAATTTTTATTGCTCGTATTTATTTACACTAATGGAAGCTAATTTCAACTAACAATTAATATTTCTCCAATATTTGTGATCTTGCAGTTTTTAATACGTTAATTTTTCTTCTTTTTTTTGTTTTTTTTTTTTTTTTCTCTTAAAATATTTCCTAACATCACTTTCAATTTCTCCAAAAATCCCAATTTATTTTTCCTTTATTTTAACTCTAACTCGATTGAATCACTACAACGTCTTTAATTATTTTGTTACGACCATAATGATTTATTGCTAAATCTGTATTTAGAAAATATATTTATATTATTATTTTTATGGATATTCTATTTTTACTTACACGAATTTAATTAAAAACTGGTTATTGTTAAATGTGTTTTCATTCTAATTATGGAAGGATGACCTAAATTTCAAGAAATATCTTTAAAACGGCTTTTAATCGTCAATACTTAATGCTGATATCTTTTGTTCAATCATTATTATTTTGTAGATGTAGTGTAAGTTTTTTTTTTTTATATTAAATTATTAATTTCAAGATTTTATCTATTGTAATTTTTAGATAGAAATTACTTATGATTAGCTTCACACTAGCGAATATTATTTAACAGTATCTATTCTCTTTATATTATTAAATTGAATTGTTTTCATTCATAAATATACATTTACGTTTATTGTGATACTGTTTTAATATATAAATTAGTATTTATTACGGCGAAATTTTTTGAAATTACACATCAAGAAATACACTCATAGGTATAATTATTTTATTTCAGTGTTAACAAATTTTGTTTATCTAAATTAACATTGAAGACTCTTTTGTGTACCTAAAATGCATGTGATTTTATTTATTAACTTTTTTTTTTTTTTTTACTTATTTACTATAGATACTATAGATTTTATACTATACATAGGAAAATCTATAAAGTATATTCTATAAGTATTTTATAGATTTAATTATTAACGTTCATTGTTTCTGACCGCATATACATAAATGTATTTATAAATTCGGTATATATGTCGCTCGTACAAACGCACGCTTGCACACATACACATCGTCGTAGAACTACGTAGGCATAATGATTATAATATTTATCTAATTGTATATCTTAATAGAGTTTTTCGACTTTTAGGAATTGAAAAAGCACAATGTTAAGGAAGTAGTTAGAGTGTGTGAACCCACTTACAAAGTTGAGGAACTCAAATCAGAGGGTATCAATGTGATAGATTTAGTTTTCGACGATGGAACGTTTCCACCAAACGAGGTAATTTTTAGATTTTTTAAAATTTAATAAGATATTCGATAACCCAACTATATGAAATGAAATACAAATTTCTTGCATATCATTATTTTTTATTGGTTATGCTGAGAAAAATATGTACACGAAGTGTTTGAGAATAACAATAAGTTTAATTTTTATTGCAAAATACTATTCTTTAAATGTATACAGTGATGTAACTTTGTTAATGATTTGCTTTAAATTAATTAAATACACTACTATGTCATAATTGAATTTAAGAAATGAATATATTATGTGATAAATATTTAAAATGTTAGAAATTTTCTATTAGTTAAAAAATAATCGAATTCGATGCTTTTTTAATTAACAAAGTTAGTGTTCTTTCTGTACGTAGTATAAAAATTCTAATATAAGTTGATTTTATATAAAAATAGATATCATACACATAAACTTATTTCAATAGCAAATTTCTTTTTTTTTTTTTTTTTTTTTTTTTTTTTTTTTTTTTTAACTAATGGCTTATTCAACACTTACACAATATACTTTAAAAGCCACGTACCGTTGCGTTTTTTCGTGTAGCAGTCATTAGCTCAGTCGGTAAGACATTTACTTTATAGTCAAAGGATTTTGAGGTTCGATTCCAGATGATAACCAAAAGACCTATTTTTATTTTAATATGTTCAAATGTTAAAAAAAATAAATAAATAAATAAAAATGCACGCTCCTTAGATCCATCTTTGAATTTTTAAGAGATGCTTGAGTCATAGGTGTGCTAGAATATGCAAATTCTTCTCTATTATCTAACGTCTCTTATTCTTTAATTGGATAAAAGATTCGGTAAAGAGAGGACAAAGTTTTTTTTTTTTTTTTTTTTTTTTTCACATGTTTATTAATCTTTTGATACTATTAAATAAATAGGCAAATTAATTTTCATAATTATGTATACTTTATACGACTTATAGTTGAGTATCGAGAGAACGTATCGTAAACAGAGTGTGTGATCACGTTTATTAATATGGAAGATACACTGTTTACGTATTAGATAAATAATAGATGAAACTCATGCACACCGTTTAATTCTCTTGGTATTTATTTTATCAAAACTCATCTAATATTACACAAATATGATCAAAGAATTAATCTAAATACAATATAATAGTGATATAATACTGATTATGTTATAGTATTTATAACATCGATGCTGACGATAACAGTAATAATAGTAAACAATGATTTATTGATTTTTAACTGCAAAAATGGATTTTATATATAGTTGATATGATGAAAAACAATAAGATGTTATTTGTTAAATGTAAAAGGGTAATATAGATTGAAGCTGCTTGAATGAAAAACTTTTGAAATTGCTGTACGCGGATGCGTTTAAAGCCGTTTAAAAATAAATGTTGGAAAGATATGGGCATTTTGCGAAAGGCCTTAATCATCTGTATAATTATCGTCGGTAAATCAGAGGAGCCCGAAATTGACCGAAGAGCAGCAGAATAAAAGTAGAAAGGATTCGAAGCAGCTCTCTATAATTCTAAGGCAAAATTCTTTTCTTCGTATGCTGCAGGTCGTTGACGATTGGTTCGAGCTACTTAAAAATCGCTTCCGGGAAACGCCGGATAGTTGTGTTGCAGTGCATTGCGTCGCCGGACTTGGTAGAGCACCTGTCCTCGTCGCACTAGCCCTCATCGAACTTGGTCTTAAGTACGAAGATGCGGTCGCTTTAATCAGAGAGTAAGTAAAATCTGGCAATCGAGCGATCTCGCGTGCAACAGCGGCAGATGTCGTTTGTCAATGTAAACGGGCTTTACAAACTCTTATTAACAAATCTTGCTGACAAATCTTTACGAAAATTAATTTGAATTAATATATTTTCAGGAAGAGACGAGGCGCTATAAATGCCAAACAGCTGGCCTATTTGGAGAAATATCGTCCCAAGTCTCGACTCAAATTGAAAAATGGGCAGAAGAACTCGTGTTGCGTTCAATAAGCGATGCTTACATCATTCGCCAATTATAATTGAATACCAACTTGGTATACAACTAATTACTTACCTTTATTTACACAACTGACGACAGCGATATACTGTAAAATGTATAATTCGGAAAAACTGATAATCGACGAATCTGTCAACGGAAATGCAAACTCTTTTACAGTAACTAATGCGTACAGCATTAATCGGTCAATTCTTATGAAATTAAACGCATCTTTCAATTATAAATTATTGTATCGTCTGTTTGTGGTTTGTTGTCTCTTAATAATATTGATTATTTTTATTTCATTCGGTGTGAATATTTTAAGCTAGAGTTTTGAATCTCAATGCGAATAAGGCAAACGAGGGATCATATAAGCAAACACGATTTCATAACGATTCAATTATACAATGTCAATTTGCTTAAAATATTATGCTCTTTTTAAAATAAAATATGATGATCAATATTTATTCGTATAGTGCAATTTGAGACATATTTAGAATATATAAATTTTGTTATCGAATCCTATTTTTTCTCTCTCTCTCTCTCTCTCTCTCTCTCTCTCACTCTCTCACTCTCTCACTCTCTCTCTCTCTCGCTCTCGCTCTCGCTCTCGCTCTCGCATGCGCTTGCTTTAAAAGAAAAAGTGAAACATAAGCCTTTGTTTGATTGCTAGTTTTTTTTTTTTTTTTTTTTTTTAAATTTAATTTAATTTAATTATTATTATTATTATTATTATTGTTGTTGTTGTTGTTGTTATTATGATTGAGCATAATAAAGAATAAAGAATGTAGGTAAGATCACAAATGTTTTGGGTGCTTAAAGTTCAAATTGTATTTATATTAAGCATGAGTTGCATTTCCATGGACACGGTCAGAGTAAATAAAAAAATTTTTTTTTTTTGTTGAGTTTTATCGAGCTTCTAATAAGCATAACTTCAACTAAAAATCACTGAGAAGCGAGTGATAGAAAAGAAAGAATAAGATTTGAAGCAAAGACATGTATTCGCACTCCAGAATTTTTGCATATATCAGTGAAATCGCAGTTCAATGGCCATTTTATTAAAGTTTCGATGCTATCTTTCCTTATACTCAGAATCTCTTATGAAAAATAATGTATAATTAAATCAAATGAATGTTCCAGATTTTAGATCAGACGATGCACTTTAATAAAATCGCCGATAAGGCTGTGTGCCACATTAAACTGTGTTCAAAACATAAAAATAAATGAAATATCTAGACGATGAATTTTACTCCAAATAATTTAAAATTGTAATATTTAAATTAATGAAAGTCTCGCATTTGTGTCGTTTTGTTTTGCGTCTGCGTTATCCGAAGAATGTACTAGACCAACGGCTTATTGTTGTCATCTAACTGTTTTTCATGGTGTAATATTTTGCAAGAATCAAAAAGGTTGTATATCTTGCAATTTTTGTATATACAATTATTGAATAGCCATTGCTCTTGAATTACAATTTCTCACTCTGCATACGCTTACAACCCCGCCCTTTTTCTTTGTATCACACACTCGAGGCCAAATAATAAATGAATATATACGTTTCACGTGCTTTATCATTGGACAGTACATTCCTCGTCGTTATATTTACAGCATAAATGAAATTTAATGAGAAGACATACAAAGATAATGATAATAAACCTACTCTATAATTCATTTTGTCTAAGATTAACTAACCAAACGAAGAAAAAAAAAACTGCAATATTTTTTACCAGAGGATGGGACAAGGGACGTTCGTAATGAAATTTAAGTAAATATGTAAATCCATGATTCCAAAATCAAATATGTTAATCCCTATCGATCCTCACCTTAATTAAATTGTCTTTGTGATGGTTACTAGAGTGCAATGTGCATATATTTCGTAAAATTACTGTTTCTTGCTATCGCGTTAAGATAAAAATTACGAGAGTTATCAACGTTTTTATCAATCAATATTATTTCTAAATTACCGTTTTTATTTATATATATTTTTTTCCTTTTCTCAACAAGTAACTATTTCATGGATATCTTCTTTAAGAGCTATTGTAAAGATAATTAAATTAAAACGTATAAAATCATATTACTCAACTGTGATATACTTATATATTTTATTCAAACCTCTGAAGAAACTGAAAAGATACAAGATTTACTTTCAGATGAAAGTTATCGATCAAATGCATGACCAAAATAAATCTTTAATTTGTTGAAAGTTATAAAAAGAAATTATGTAGAAATTCATGTAATTAACATTGATTTCAAACTTGTTCTCAATTTACTCACGCTTAAACAAAAAAAAAAAAAAAAAAAAAAAAGAACTCTCAACTAGTAATTACAAGAATTTGATATTTCAATAAAACCAATTGTTCAAAAATGAATAGTAAAACGATTATTTTAATAAATAAAGTTGTTTTATAATTTTAAACATCATTGATACAAAACACAGTTTTTTCTTTAAATATTTGCAACAAATTTATGATTAACTTATTTCAATAAAATTATTAATGAATATAACGTTTTCTTAAATATCTATTACTTTCATTCTTTTTTATGAAAATTAATAAGTAATAAATATGTATTTTACACTACATAAATATACATGCAAATTATTTTAAAATAAGAATTTAATACTATATTTTATACTAATTAAAAATAATAAAAAAAATGATGAGCCTACGTGCTTAATTAATAAATAACTTCATACAAATATACTAACTAAAAACCAGTTGTAATTATAATTAAGTGTATTGTTTTAAGGCAAGAATTCACAATTATACGTAATACATATGTGCATCATTTGTTAATATAATTTACCGATACAATTACAACGACACATCGAATAATTCAACAAAATAACATCATCTTTAGTATATTGTAAATGTATTAATGAGGTAAAATAAACGAACGTCTTTTTGTGATGCACTCGGAAAATTTTTTGAAAACAAACATTAAACGACATTTTTAAAATGTAACTGTTACAAATGTTTCTTTATTTTTAATCCTTTACATAAATAATTATAATTTTATTTCAATAATTGGATAAATTTGAAGTACCTATGTGAAAAGAAATTTTTATGTTAATATATTTTATTGCATTTATTGTTTCGTTAATAACGATTATACATTTCTAATTATTATATCATAAAGTATTGTATTTTTATAATAATAAAATATAAATTAATCTATAAATGTTCCATTACATAAATATTGACGTACATAATATATTTGATTGCTGCTTTATATTTTTATCGTTTCAATTCATTACTCAACATATAAAATAAAATTCAAAGAAATCATAATACTCGTGAATTTTAAAAGTAACAGTTCAATCAACTATGTTGATAATTTTTACTAAATTATGCATCAAATTGTTAATTTAATGTTAACTCCAAATTGCAATATTTAAATCTTTTATTAATTTACATAATCAAAAAGACTTAAAAGAGGAGACTTTTATAATGTAATAAACAATAAAAAAGAAAGCATTAAATATTAAATAACTTATTTTTATTTCCTTTTATTTAACCTCCTCACATAAACATATCATCAAAACCAGGTGGAAACAAATGATCGGCGTCAGGTAATCTTGCTCTAGGATTTGGATTTTCAATATCTGGAGGGCCAAATGGATCAAATCTTGAACCACTTGGGACAGAACCCCTGATAAAAACGAAATCAATGAAAAAAAAAAATTTTACTTCATTTATATTAGCTGAGCTTACTGTGGTAATCTGCCAGGTATTCCAAGTCCGGGATGAGGAAGCCTTAGTCCACGATTAGCAAAAGGATCAAATAACATTCCACCTCCGCTTACTCCAAAGGGATCTAAATCATCTTTCCCAATCCTAGATGGATCATTCCGCCGGAGTCTATTTTAAAAAATATAATTAACGATACATTTAAAAAAACATTAAATATTGAAATTCTGTAAGATTAAACATTTATAATTTCTTATACTCTTTCATATTAAAATTCATGACATCATTTTTACACTTACTTATGTAACAAGAAACATATATATTCTGAATTGTAATATTTAATAATTAAAATGGAAATTTAATTTTTAATACCTAATAAGGGGATTTTGTAAAGATTCTGAAAAGATTCTGGAAGAATACAGGAAGGTTTCAGAAGGTAGAATAATGCCAATAATCGTGTCTTTCTAGGACATCAATATCATGGGATACCTGCAAGAGAAGAAATATTTCTTATAAAAATATTACCCTGGTATATTAGAACCAGCTGGTCTATGCTGTGATTCTACCCTCAATGGGTCATCATCTCTTCCTGATCTCTCAGTTCCAGATTGTGAAGTTTGCGTTGATACTTCACATTGAGTTTGCGAATTAAGTGGCTTAATAAGATCCTGTTTTAATATATTCAACAGACCTTCATAATTTGGTATCATTATTTCTAGAGGTCCTTGAAGTTGTTTAACATTGTCAATAGAAAATTGTGCATTTGATACACTGTGATCTTCGATTCTCTAAAAAAAATTATTACGAATTTTGATTATCACATATAAATTATAGTCGATAGTTTTCTAATCTAAATTTACCAATAAATTTATCATTAAATCTGTTTCAGATTTTACTCCTATTAGAATATAAAGTTTACCCTCTTTAACATATCGTAATGAGTAATTTAATGATTGATTCCATCCATTAGGTAGTAGTTCAGACCCTGTTTCTGTAGGTTCAATTATTTTCTAAAATAAAGAAAAAATCAACTTAATTTATAAAACTTTAATAAAAAAAAAAAAAATACAGCCCAATGATATACATGAAAAAAAAAATTAATATTAACATAAACTACAAGGTTATGTATGTATAATATATATATATTGCCAGATGAGAAATTGAGTTCCGTGTTAATTATTAAAATTATTTAATTATGAAAATAATGATTGGATGTTTAAAAATTATTTAAACAATTTATTTATAAAAATTATTGATAACTTACAGAATCTCCTATTCCAAGACACTTGAATTTATTTTTAATAAAATACCAATGCACAAATAAAATTAATACATCTTCCTTTTTCGTTATTTGTACACCAGAAATATTAAAAAGTAACTCAAAACCAAAGGATTTTTCTGGATTACTTGACATTTTTCAATTAATTAATTTTTTGAATGACAAAACAACTTTTGGATAAGTTTAAGCTAGCGCCATTATAAAACGTAAACTTGTTTCTGAGTTAAAAATTTATGATTGTTTGATTATTTGACTAAATTAATTATATTATTTATTTTTTATTAACAATAAAAAGAGGAATTTTTAAAATATGCTTCCGAAAATAAATTTTGCATTTTGAAAGAAAAATTTATTTTTTGTTTTGTTTTAATTTTTTGCTTTTTCATTTGTTTTTCAATCTATGAGTAAACATAATTTTATGTTCGTAATAATTAAAAATTATACGTTAAACAACAAAAATACAATTTGATTTTATGAAAAAAATCTTTAATAAAATAGCAATTGAAAATTGAAGAATAGTCTGTAATTTATCATATTATGATTTAATTTTTAAACAATATGAATTTTTTTTTTTTTTTTTTTTTCTTTTTTTAATAGAAATGAGTATTTTTTGGAATTAAGAAGGCAAACTCAAATGACTAGAAACACTTTGACGTAATTATATTCTATAAAAAAGTTATATTAATAATGTTGATTACAATCACATCCAACTAAATCAATTTTTTTTAATACACAAAAGTGTAATGTTATTTTTGTTATTCAATCATTTCAGAATCGGTATCTTGCTCATAAACATTTGATGTGCTACTCGGAGAACTACTTTCCATAATTTCTTCTTCACTTTCTGGTTGATTTTGTTCATCGCTATCCAATGCATATCGCCTCCAAGGAATTCTGGAATTAATAAATTATTTATTGTCATCGATGTTTATTAATGTTTATATTATTATGCATTATTATATCTGACCTACCTTTTTCTTTTATTAAAACAATCTTCGATGAATTTATGATCCACAATTTTACAATGGCCTTTCAAGTATTCAGATTTTGGCGTTTTTTTAAAACGACAAATTAGATGGGTACATTTGTTATTGGTTAAATTTGGATCAACAATATATTTTGCTCCCATTTTTAAAGCTTTTCTTCTGATTTCGTCTCTTTGTGGATTAACATATCCACTAAGAGAAAATGAAATACCATCAAAAAGTTTGCCAAACGGTTTTGTATATTTATTGATTTTTACAGATTGTTGTTTTATATCAACTAATACTTGCGGTTTAATTACTAAATTGCATGTGTTACATAATTCATCTGTTTTTAAACGACATAGAGAACAATCATCTTTTTTATTAACTTTGTCATCACGTGAAGTAGAACATTGTGGCATATCATACAGGCTTTCAGAGTTTTGATTGAAATCTTCATTAATTTTGCATTTGTCTAATTTTTTTTTACGTTTAGGGCTTGGTACAATATCCCCAAATAATGTTCGAACAACAGGGGAATTTTCATTTTTTTTTATTACCGAAGAACCTTTTTCATCATTGTGTACTTTGGTATTCGAAACTTTTATAACATTGGTGGTATTATCTAGTGTTATTTGAAAATCAAGGAAAATTTAGTTAACATGATTATATAATTAATAATTATGAAAAATAATTGTACAATACCTGATTTTGATTCATCTAATTTTGTATTCGATTCTTTTCTGTCCAAAATTGGTGTATCCCTATAATTAGGAGTTTCTTGTTTGTTCACAAACTTACTTACGCCAGATTCAATGATTTTTTCTTTTAATTTATCTTTATAATTTGCTCTATTTACAAAAAGTTTTAGATATTTCTCCTTAAATTCTTCCATTCCTTCATCATTTTGTTCCTTTAATTTAAAACGTCCGAATATATCTAAACCTAAATCTACAACAACTTCTGTTTTTAAAATTATAAAATTTAAACCGAAAATTTCTCTTGGATTAGCCGATTGCATACAAGTAACCTTGACTCGGTCAAATTTAATATTAATTGTTTCTGGATTGAGTTCTCGTTTAGTAAATATCTGAACTTGATCTCTGAACTTGCTATTTGCTACTTCATCATGAGATAGAAATTGGTGATTTACGATAGGAATCCATGTATCAGGCTTTTCAAAAGTAGAAGCTTCGACAATTATAAAACATGAATGGTAATTTCCTATTTCCAGTCCAGTTATACAAGAAGCTTCGGCTAATTGAAAAATAACTGTTGCTATGAGCTCATTTGGTTTGGCACAACGCCACGATGATTTTGGAGGATGTTCTAATAAATTAGAAGATGGATAAAGTGGATGATCCGATGAACAACTTATTATTTTTGCTATTTTAATTATCATTGCTGTAAAGCTTAAGATATTTTATTGTTCATAAAAAATTTATCGCTTATTGTTAGCGATAAAGTTAATAAAGTTTGCAAGACGAAGCCTTAAAGTTTATTATAAAAATTAGTTGTCATAGATTTTACTATAATAGACGTTAGGATGTTCAACATAACCTAAAGTACTTATTATTCATACATGTTGATATTAATGTACTACACAAATTGAAATATGCAAATCGAATTCATAGTCATTTAATATTTTCTTTTTTAATTTTATTTTATCATGCATTTAAGTAAAATGTAAAGTTTATATTTATTCAATTTTAAAAGATTTTATTTGGATTAAATTTTCTTTTCTTATTTTCTTTGAAATGTTTATTTTGTTGAGATCTTGCAGTGATTGCCACCAGATGGCACTTCATAGCGGCGATGCAAAGATAAAACTAAAATATTATGAATTTAATGCTGATTATCAGGTAATTAATTTATTAAATCCATTGAAATTCAATAGTAAGTAATAAGAAATTTATAATTGAAGAAAAATAAGAATTAAATGTAATGTAGAATTTTCACATATATTCAATTATTTTATACAGATAGATATTTATAATTGTAATAAATATAAACTAATATTCAATCATTTAATTATTTAATTTACGAATCATATATATATATATATATATATATATATATATATAT